AAATTATCTTTAATAACAGTTCTTTATGTTTTTAATGATTTATTCTTTAATAATTTTTACAAGTATAATATTTTTGGTTAACCTGATTACTAATATGCACATCTTATTGCAAATATTGTACTTTTAGATGGTTATTCAATTTTTTTTAAAAATCGAATATAATTTAATTTAATATATCTTAATTTTTACTATTATTTTCTAAAAAATTAATAATTTTATTAATTTTAATTTCTTCTTTTTATGATTTATATATTTATTTAATTTCATTTTATAAATAATCACCTAATATATTGTCATATTTTTTATTTATAAGCATTTTTTTAAAATATTATGATATTCCTTTATTATAATTTCCTTTCTAGTTTATTTTTTATATATAATCATAATAAAATTGGATTTATGAATTTTTTACATTTTATTATTTAATTTTTTTTTTTTATTTATTAAATTAAATTTACATTTTATTAAATCATCTATTCATAGATTTTAATTATCTTATATAATACATATAAATGAAAAAAAAATTTAAATCTTTTTATTTAAAAATTAAATCTATATTAAATATATATAAAAACACTATAATAAAATATACGAATTTATAAAATACTAAACTATTAACTATATAAAATCTTTTCTTTAAAATATTAAAATATTTGAACTAATTATTTTATAAAAACAAACAATTTTTATTAAATTATTTATATATTATTAACAATTAAAAAAATGCTCAATTATCTATAGACTCAATAAGTTTATCATCATTATAATATTTTCCAAAAGTTTAAGGATTTTTAGAGTTTATCTTTCCTCCTTTTTAAAAATCAAGTAAATAAATCAAAAAGCAAAAAAATAAGGCACATGATTAAATTATAATATACAATATTAAAAAATCTTATATTCCTTTCCAATCAATTATAATACCTCCTACAAAAGACAGCATGGAAAATCCAATATTTCTAAAACATGAATTAATTGCTATAGCAGAATTATGATTATAATGATTACATAATAAAGGAATTGTAGGATATAAATAAGTAGTAGCAGTTGTTAAATATAATCCAAAGATAATTAAAGCTAAAACAACCAAAAACAAACTTTCTTATCCAAAATAAAGCACAAGCATTGTAGAAAGTCCTAATAAACCTGCGAAAATCAAACCAAAAACTCTTTTACCAATATAATCAGTTACTAATCCGAATACAGGTTAAATAAAAGAAATCCAAAAAGGTATAGAAATTATCTATCCTGCTGTAGTTTAATGGAAATTAAACTTTTTAATAAGAATAGTTTATAAGAAATTATTGAAAGAGAAAAATCCTCCAATGATTAATAAAGATTAAATACTATAAACCCAGAAAATATAGCTTTTGAATTTAAAGCTATCAAATGTTTCTTATAAGCTTTTGTTTTTATTATTTTCTTACTAAAAATCAGAGGTTTTATCAAGAAAAGCCACCAAAAGAGCACAAAAAAAAGAAAATACACAAATTAAGCATCCTACAAAAAAAGGAAGAACCAAACTTTGATTTACATCAAATAAATAGGGATATAAAATTCCAGAAAAGGCATTTCCAATCTTATTAGCGAAAATACCAGTAGAAAATGCAAATGTTAATCCTTTTTGTTTAAACCATTTTGAAAATATATATGTTTACGGACATATACGATTTCTTATCCAATCATAAATATTGACTTGCCTATTAGTAATAAATTGTAGTATTTAATATATACTGATACTAAACATAATGATTATCCTATTACCATTAATAAACATAAATATAATAATGATTTCTTTATTCCTATTCTTTCAATTAAAAATGGAGATAATAATGATAATATTATGTTTGGAAGAGGAGTTATTAAAACTAAATATAAATATTATTATGATGACATATTCATTTATTATGTAAGTTGCTTTTTTATATATGATTGAAAACCCATATTATAAAATCCTCCTATGCCTATACTTGCTGTAAATATTAATATTAAATATTTTATGCAGGTAGAAGTTTCTTCAACTAAATTTTTTATTTTTATTTTTTAAATTATAATTATACTTGTGTTTTTTTAAGTTTTTAATATAATTTTGTTTTTTTGGTATTGATCATCTTTGCTTTTTTTATTAAAATATTTGATTTTTAAGGTAAAATTATAATAAAAAAAAGATATATATATTAATTAACTTAAATGAATGTTATTATAAAAAAATAATTTTAAAATTATTAATAAGTGATTTATAATTAAAACATTTTAAATTTGAAATAATAAGAAAATATTCTAATCTATACCTATATAAAGAAGAATTCAAAACACAATTTCAATATCAATGTTTATCTTCAATATCAAACAAAAAAGTAGAAAGTTTAAAAAGAATAAAAAAATATAAAATAAACAAGTAAAAATTAGTAAAAATACCAAAGAAAAAGTTATAAACAAGTGAAATGTTAGGAAATTTGAAAATAATTTAATAAATAAAAATAAATTATATTGAATAAAAAGAAGTGAATAATTAAGCAAAAAGTAATAACTATAAAACAAAGATTAGTATAAAAAAATAATAATAATATTTAAATTATCTAAAATTGATAAATAATAAAAATAAATAATCTATATAAATATTAAATTAAAATACAATCCATAACAAAGATTTTTTATAAGCTTAATATTAAATAAAATTTGGTAAAAGAAAAATAATTTCAATTATTAAATTATATAAAAAAAAATAATTTATTCATATTATATTATTTATTATTAAATAAATATTTTTAAAATCTAAAATAAAAAAAATTATAAAAAAGAGAAAATTTCAAACTTATTTATTGATATTATTAGTAAATTTATTAAAAATTGGAAGAAAGAAAAAGAAAATAAAAAAAAATATATATTAAAACTAAAAATAATCTAAAAATTATTAAGAAAAAAAAAAAAAAAAAAAATACTAATATTATAAATTAAATTTAGAATAAAAAAAAATTAAATTATATATAATATGTTAGTAATATATTAAAAGAATATTTAAATAAATTAATATATTAAATTTATATATATATTTATAATTTTACTTTATTATTGAAATTTATATAAATATTTTAACTTTAGTATTTTTATTTTCTTTTTTTTTATATTAAATTAATTCTTAGTTTTATTTTAATATTTTTTATTATTTTAATATAATATATATTTATAATTTCTATTAGCTAATTAATTAATTTTTTAATTACTATATATATATATTGTATGTAATATAGAAAATTTTTAAGTTAGAAATTTATACATTATTATTATATTTTAAAAATCTTTACATATTTTTTTCATTTTTCATTTTTAAATTAAAATGAAATCACATTTATACTAGGACTATACTATCCAACTCCATATAAGCCTTAATTCCAATCATATCCAAGTCCAAATGCCAAAAATTCTCCATCAAACGAAGGACATGTAGTACTAATAGATTATTTCAAAACCATATCTTTTATTTTACATTTATTTGTAAAATCCCAAAAAATCTAATAATTGTAAATATTTAAATAAAATAAAAAAAATACTATTTTTCCTTCAGACCAAAAGTTGCAAGTTCTTATT